TTTTAAGTCTCAACCGTTATTGCTATTTGCTTGCTGGTAGGTTGACTGATCAACTTGTTAGTCCTTTTTCTTTTTAATATAAGACTAGTACAATACCTGTGTATTACACGGGTATTGAATTAGAAAGCTTTTGTAAAAAATATTAAATTTTTTATTTTTTCAAAAACTAAAATAATTTAATTTTATATAAAGCATTACTTTGGGTTTTAATTAAATTGTTAAATTATATTTTCTTAATCATAATAATCAAACATTCGTACATTAAATGAAAATGTCAATCCGTGTTGAATTTTTTTACTTATATCATATAAAAATATCGATATTATTTACTATTACATAAGTACAAAACTATATATCTTAAATAAATATAAATAATATGGTGATATGTATATGCATAAGTGTAGAATATGTTTATTTAATATTAAGTAAAATAGATTAATTTTATTACTTAATTAGATGCCTAATACATCAACTGTCGTATCAGTCGTGCTTTACAGTTTTTTAACTTTATATGTAATTTTAGAATTTAGATAAATAATTATTTATTTTTATTATATTGACAGCATACCAATTAGATTTGAAATAAATATCATTTTTAAAAGAATACATACCAATTTCTATTACTTTATAGTATAGTTTATAGTTTTATTTTATATAATTTGATTTAGTTTGATAAATAAATTTAAATTTTATTTATAAGGATATATATTACTGTTTTGTATAATATAGATATATAAATAGTAAAATACAAACGAACTTCATAATATCAACTCAATGCAACCCAGTAATTAAGATTTTTTTTTGACAATATTAATCCTATTTAATGGATGTTATGGGAAACGATGGAGATGAGATATGAAGAGACACTATGTATTATATGGAGGGTTAAAAATGAAAAAACATGAACAAAATATCTAAAAAGACATTTATTTTATCAATGATCAATTAAGCCAAAGTGACAAATAATAAAAATAGGACGGAGTATATATTGTTATATATTTTAGTAGGACACATGTCAATTGTGCGACTTATATGTGTTATATTATAATAAATTTTCTACCTTATAACATATAACTACATTAAGCATAAATATATTAATTGATAAATAATTTTATTTTCTAACTAATTTTAATAAATAATTTTATTATTATTATAAAGATAAATATAATTTATTTATTTTATATATACAATATGGATGTCAAATCGAAGTTCATCAAAAGATGATTAATTTGATATATTATATATGTAAAACCGATAAGAAATACAAAAGTTATCAAACTTTAAAATATATTTGCAATTCAATGATTATAATAGGAAATGATATTGAAATACAATTATACAAATATTAATTTATATCCAAGCCTAACTCCAAAGAATGATTTTTTGTCAAATAAGATTCTGAAGCATGAGAGTTTGCCACGTAGACTCAGTGCATTTTGAAATTACATATACAGGGGATTTTAATGCATATATTTATTTTATATTATAGAAAATTAAATTTTCATCAAATAGCACTCAATTTCTAAAATTTATGGTCTTATACAATATTTTTATTATTTTTTAAGTAAAATATAATAAAACTACTCTTCTCTTTTTATGTATAATGAGTAACTTGTAAAATATGTCAATACTATTTCAAAGAAATGCCAACTCAATTTACATGTATAGCCGGTCCCAGAGGCTTTAGTCATGGCCACTCGGGAGTTGGTCCAAAGGGAGTGGCAGATTCACGTTCGACATGTGCACCGCGATGTAAACTTTGTAGCTGGCCACCTGGCGAGTTTAGCCGCCTCTTGGCCGATTGGTTTTCATGTGTTGAACTCTCCCCCCTAGTTTGGGAGATTGGCTTTTGCATGATGTTGTCGGGGTTTCCTATCCCCGCCGTGTATTAGTTAATGCCTAGGCCAACGGCCTCCTTCTTTGCACCAAAATTTTTTTACATGTATAGCATTTCACCAAAATGTCGAACACTTTTTGTCTTTCTGATCAAGATATTATTTTGAAACACAACAATATGTATTTAATTCCAAATCAATAATCGTTCAACTAAGAAATAACGAATATCAAGTGAATTCCGTAAATAAAACGATATAATACATATATAGCAAATTGTGATAGAGAAATAGCAAATATCAACGATCTATATATATATATATATATATATATATATATATATATNTCTACATATAATTGTAGGTTATTTAGTTAATTTTCAGTTAATTATGATAATAAATAGTTATATTTTATATTAATCAATATTTGTTAACTATTCTATTATATAATAGTTACTATTGAAACCAACTAATTATAATTCACACTAAATGATATATAAAAGTTACATAAGTATCAATAGTTATATTGCAAAAAAAATTTTCCAAGCTATTTATTCTGAAATTAATATATTTTTTACATCTCACTAAGCATTTATTTTTTGAATTAACCAATTGATATTAATGGCATAGACAAACATCTTAAAATCGCATAAACAATTATAACAACAACAATAATAGTACTAATAATAATTTAGATATGGTTCTATATAATTATAATTAGTTGTGATCCCTTAAAATTACAACAATTAATATAATAATTTATGTGTAGTTAAATAATTTTTAACTGGTACTTTTGCTAATGACCAATTTTATACACGTGTACATTAGCACAATTATTACAGCAGACACTAAGACACATAAGCCATCTGCAACCAACATTGAGCAATCATTGGCGCATGCTGCAGAGCACGAAGGCGGCCCAACATGCCCACTACCAAGTTATTAGTCTATACTTTGCTCTGTCTTAAGGAAGTTGCTCTATACTTTACCTTTGCTCTAGTTGACAATCATAAATTATTATGTTTTTTTACAGTTTTACCTTTTGTTTGGCCTCTTGGATCCTGGATCATTAAAGGAAAAAAAGAAGAAATAAATTAATCAAACTTGACACTGGAAATGATACTGGTTAATTGGCCTTTCGCGAAAATTTATTCATATGAAGTACAAAAATCGAGTGATGTAGTACTCTACACTTCATGAATCGAATTTATACTTACGAACTGATTTTTATCCCCTTAATAAGGTACCTACAATATAACGGGACAAATTCTCAAGACAGATACTCGCCGTTCAAGTCAATACGCTCACTGAGAAATCTCAGCTCTCCATATGGTGGTTGGCATGAAAATAATACGTTAAATGTAATAGTATGAGATCTAAGTAAAGTTATGTTATATAGGACAAAGCAAAATTAAATCTTTAAAAAATTCGTTCATTGTAAAGTAATACCTAATCTTCCACCAACTTGTATAAAGTTTAATTAGAATTGTGTAAATAATAACTTATTATTTCTTTAGTACAAACACACCATTAGATATTTTTAAGACATATTTACTGTATCTCTTAAAATGTAACATAATTCCAAATAATAATTGTTATACCACAAATACTCGAACCGCTCGACCGCTCCTCTCGAACCGAATTGAACCTTCTCGATCGCCGGTACCTGCAAAACACGCCGGGGGTGGTCCCGGCGTGAACACTCCGACGCTCAAGTCAGTGGTGGTGTTTTGGAGAGAAAACGGCAGAGTAACAAGATAATATGTGTATGTGTGTGTTATGTAAAATGAATAAACCTATCCCCTTTTATAGATGAGGTCTTGTACATGTCGTAGAGTTCTTGTTGGTCTAGAAGTCTTTTCCTCATACCTATCCACAAATTAGGTCAAAGATGCCCAGAACGTCAGAGTCCTTATCACTACAACCTTTCACGCGAGGTGCCCTCGGCAGAACCCTCTGGCCGAACTGCCCAGGTGCTGAGGTGTCCAGCTGCCTAAGTGCCGAGGTGTCCAGCTGCCTAAGTGCCGAGGTGTCCAGCTGCCTAAGTGATCCCGCCTACCTAGCACGTGACTCCTTGGTATGCCGCCTAGCCAGTCTTCCCATCATAAAAACGAAATCGAACCCTTACCAATGGCCATATCAATAATAAATGTACATACTTATACATCTATTTCCATCTATTCTAATGCAAATAATATAGTTGTTAGGTTAATAAATAAATTTATGTACATATACTATATTGTATTTTAAAATGTGATGTTATAATATAAAAATAATCATTTTTACGGATTCAATAATATGGCGTGTTTGATTATCTATTTAAGCAAATTTCGATGAAGGAGATTGATCAAGTTTTGTGGATGTGAGCTCCAAACAGGTCGCAAGTGCTAGGCGTGAAGACATCGTAAGCGATGACGTGTTTGACGGCAAGTGGAGCGGACCACAGTAAAAAGAGTGGATGGTGCCGCATATTATAGTTCCCGTGCCACCTCCACCCGTCTTTTCCTTATTTCCCAGTCTCTCTCTGTTCAGTAAAATGCTAAAATGGCAGTGAATGAATGAAAAATCGAACGCTATTTCTAAAATCTCTCCCTTCGTCTCTCCCATAAGGCAAAATTCGCCGTCGTCCTTGCTCTGTGCTTCCGAAACCAAGGTACCTCTGTCTTCTGATCAATTCTAGTGTTCTTGTCAGGCTTTTGTTTACTGTTTTATTCTTTCGTTTTTTGTTCTTGTTTTGCCTCAAGTCTGGTGGCTTATCTTAAGTTTTTTTCGGCATTGGAGTTGATTTTGATTCTGTGGTTTTCTATTATCGTTCGTATGCTTCTGGGTTTTATTTTTCGTTTCATTTTATTTATATACCTTTAACATTTGAATTATTTGGAAAGCATTCGAATGCATTTAAGTTGTTGTCTTTCGTTTATCTTTCGTTTTCATTCCTTTATCTTTCGACTTTTGCTCTTGGTTTGCACCAAGTCCGGCGGGTGCTCTTAAGTTGTTGTCTTTTCGGCATTGGAACTGATTTTGATTATTTTGTTGTCTTTTCGGCATTGGAACTGATTTTGATTATAAGGTTTTTTATCGTGATAACTCGTATGTTGTGCTTTGGGATTTTATTTATTTATTCATTTATTTTTTAAATTTCTTGAATTATTTGGAATGCATTCAAATGCAATCGATGATTTCAGCTGTAATGGAAAATATGGATCTTCGCGGGATTGTCTTGAGATTTTGCATCGGTCACTGAATTACTCTTTTGTTTATTGAGGAGCAGAAAGTGTAGACTTTTTTCCATTATTTTCCATCGACTTAAAAGTACACTCAGAGGCCCTTAATCTTAAACGCTCATGCAACAGTGAAAAGTCGTTATGTTTGAACTACGACTTGTGCTGTATTGAGGTTAGCTGAGGTTTTGTGGCAGCCTGTTTTTGACTGCTTATAGTACTAGATATTATATGATGGCCCGTCTTCAATTTAGATCTATGCGTATGAAACCATGGTTGCTACATTGATATTGCTTAAAAATGTGTGCTTTTGTGGGCTGTATAATTGAGCATTTAATCCAGCGGACAACTGGTTCTGCAGTGCAGTACAGCATTCTACTTGTTTGATTGAATTTCCAATTGCAGCAAATTGTCTAAAACGTGGGTCAGTTTGGATATTGCAGTACGATATTCTACATTTTTTTTTCCAGCTTGAGGCGGTTAATTACTCGTGTGGTTTGTTCTTCAGATTGTAGGCATGGCTTTGATGTACCATCCTACTTCATCTCACTGCATTCCTTCCGAGATAACACAGTGCAGAGCTACACATAATGGAGCTAATAGCTTTGCCAACATGGTGGTGTCAGCGAAGAATAAGGAAATCGCCTCCGGTTTACGCTCCCATACACGGAGTTCCTTGAACTTGACTAAAGGTTGGAGTTCTGATGGTGCTGAGGTGAAACAGAGGCGAGGGTATCAGGTTATTGTTGCTGCTAGTCCTCCAACAGAAGATGCTGTTGTTGCATCAGAGCCACTCACAAAAGAAGATCTCGTAGGTTACCTTGCTTCTGGTTGCAAGCCTAAGGAGAAATGGAGGTTGAACTTCTGGCTGTTATTGGTGAAGGATTATTTGCAAGATTATGCATAAGAAGAATTTTTAAAGTATTTTGTTGGGAATATTTTCAAAATTTATAGCTCTTTTCTATTGTTCTAACTTCTAAGCAGATTAATCATGAAACTCTTGATTTTTTTTATTGTTCATATTCTCGCTGAAGATATATTTTATGAATTTTGTTTACTGAGTGCTGGAAGGGCCACACTCATTTTCCTGTAAGCTGAGATCATTTTTCTTGTTAATCTTGTGGGTTATTCTTGGTTTTCGTAAGTTAATGATTCTTTTAGTTGAATGTGTTCGCTGTTATATTTTGTCTCTTAATGGCTCCATCAAAAGTGGCTTTGGAGAACGTTGAGATAGCATCAGTTTATTTTTTTTTAATTTTTTGCGCTGTGATGACTCTTGGGTTTCTAAATTCAGGTCTTGTTTCATAGTCAGAAGTCTCATACAGTAGTTCGGTCGTTTTCTTCTATTGGAAAACAAAATTCTAATTACGATCTTTATTGTTGCATGTGCATGTGTTGGATAGCTCATGTACTAGAACTTTGATGGTTAATGTAATCCTAATCTTTTGTTCATGCAGGATAGGCACTGAACACGAGAAGTTTGGATTTGAAATTGGAACATTAAGACCCATGAAATATGATCAGATAGCAGAGCTTCTCAATGGTATATCTGAGAGATTTGATTGGGATAAAATAATGGAAGGTGAATACATTATTGGACTCAAGCAGGTATATCAATCTCTTTCTACTATTTTTCATTGACGAGTGGTGAAATATCTATGTTTTCTATTAATACCATGCAGTGCATTTGCTAAGGACTGGATCATAGACTATTGCTAAGTAAATATATTATGCTTCCTATATTCATCTATGAAAGATGTTACTAGGGTCCTTGGAGATGCATTTAAGTTAAAAACCTATCTGATTCAAATGGCATATTCCTATTTCTCAAATCATGCTGTTACATTTGGGGTTGTTGGAATTGGACTCCTTTATTTGGCTTATTGCAATTTTCATAGAATGTATCTTACTATTGGCAGGGAAAACAAAGTATATCGTTGGAGCCTGGGGGCCAGTTTGAACTTAGCGGTGCACCTCTCGAAACTCTGCATCAAACTTGCGCTGAAGTGAATTCTCACCTTTACCAGGTTAGTAGTAGACTTTGATTGCATGAGATAATCTACAGACACAGTAACATTTATTCAATTGACTATACTCGTTCGATTGAGTGGAAAATTTCAGGAATGCTTCAATTTCATGAAATCAAGCTTTAATGACAGCCCTAGACTATAATAATTTTAGTCTGGCTTGATTTGTGTTGTGAGTGTTAAACTTCCATAAGATGGATTAGTGGAAAATTTCAGGAATGCTTCAATTTCATGAAATCAAGCTTTAATGACAGCCCTAGACTATAATAATTTTAGTCTGGCTTGATTTGTGTTGTGAGTGTTAAACTTCCATAAGATGGATTAGTGGAAAATTTCAGGAATGCTTCAATTTCATGAAATCAAGCTTTAATGACACCCCTAGACTATAATAATTTTAGTTTGGCTTGATTTGTGTTGTGAGTTTTAAACTTCCATAAGAAGTATAAACCATGTTTACCTACTCCTTACACATTTGTTCCTTCTAGTACAATTTGCAGCTTGTCTCAATCTGTCTTCTATATAATCGATTCGGAAGTGGTTCTTTGACTTCAAAAATAAAAAGGCCTCAGAATGTACTCTTCGCATAAGTGTGTTGCATTTTAGATGGAGACAACTTATTTTAGGAAGGCATGTCAAAATCCAGCCATTCTGTTAGCTTCACAGTTTGTTGATGAAATACTTCAGGTTAAAGCTGTTGCAGAAGAGATGGGGATTGGGTTTTTGGGAGTCGGCTTTCAGCCCAAGTGGAAACGTGAGGACATACCAGTAATGCCCAAGGTAATGTCTATATCAAAATGGATATGTGGGCTTCACTTAAATTGGGGGCAGCATATATTTTAGAGTTCCATTAGAGATTGTGTGTGTGCATTTTAATGGTCTTTTATTTACCTGAAGAGCGCATTATCTCACGTGCGACGAAATGTGTTCTTTCAAAGCTATATATCCATGTGCCAGCATTATGATCTCGTGATTGGGGTTAGTTCATGTCTTAAAAAGTCTGTTACTTTTCCAATTTTCGTGGGGAGTGTCATCTTATTTTTCACAGTATACGTAAGTTGAAGTTCGCATATAATTGAATACATATATGCGGGACTTGGCCATCTCTTATGGCTTCAGATTCGTTTGATATACATGGTCGAAATATTCACTGAGGGAACAAAATCGATGAAGTTGACAAAAATAGAAATTTTATTTGTGGTGTCAGCTCACAAAAAATCTGGGTAAAAATTTGGACAACTTGTTGCATATTATATTGAAACTTCAGTAAGAAATAGGTGCATATCACCAACACGTTTACAGAAACATAGAACTGATTGTCTACACAAAACAATTATTTAACTAGACCATGTTTTGGGTTCTGTTTTTGTTGTTTCTGATTTTACCACAGCTATTACTTTTTATGATATATATACACTTCCACACTGATGTGCATTATTTTGTAAAAAAAATGTGATGCTAATTTGATTTGAGCCTCCTCTTGATTAAATTTTTAAGCTTCTTAAGTGTCTATGTCGCATCCTGGGTACTGATATGACAAGTTTATGGTTGGTAATTTCCCGGAATATTGATCTGCTTCAGTCTCCAGAACTGATGAGTTTCTTTGGGATTAGTTTTTCGGTCTTTTGATGTCTTGTTGGTAATAGTCTGGGCACATTTTAAGCATCCGATATGAGATCTGATGAAATTCTATGCATTTGGATCAGGGAAGATATGCAATTATGAAAAATTACATGCCCAAAGTTGGAACTCTTGGACTTGATATGATGTTCCGAACATGTACTGTTCAGGTAAGAAATTCTGAGTTTTCTCATTGTGGCTTGTTTGGTAATACAATATTTTTCTATAAGCCCTCCACTTTGTCAATGCAGGTGAATCTAGATTTTCATTCTGAAGCTGATATGATACGGAAGTTTCGGGCTGGTTTGGCTTTACAGCCTGTAAGTTGTTCATATGTTTAGCTGCCGCTTACTTAATTGTGCATAGCTAACTAGTCTCTTAAACAGATAGCCACAGCACTCTTTGCAAATTCACCTTTCACTGAAGGGAAGCCGAATGGTTTTCTCAGTATGAGAAGGTAATTTTCTTTTTCAAATGATTGAGCCACTTCAGTTTTCATCTTTTTCCTTCCAAAAATATTGGTTTGAAATAGTGTTATGGATCAAGGCTGTTGAGATATTGATATAACGTAAATAATTGATTTCCCCCCGCAGCCAAATCTGGACAGACACTGATAACAACCGTGCTGGGATGCTTCCATTTGTCTTTGACGACTCCTTCGGGTAAGTTCTTCCTCAAATTAACTGTTTCTTAGCAGATAGAAAAACTAACAATCACTTGAACTACTTTAGCTGCCCAAATAAATTAGTTCTCTTTTCAGTTTAGAATTGTTCCCATAAAGTTTTGAATTACCCAAAAAAAGAATACTCCTTTAGCCTCCTCAGTGACCCTCACTAATCTAGCTGCAGAAAAGTGAAAAATGTTTTGCATATACAGAGTTATTTGTCCTTTACCTGGTTGGCTTGAGTCAGGCTCTGTTAGTTTCTACTTTCACCATAACCATTGTGATCTTTGGAGCTTTACTTTCTTCATCACCACCAACACTGAGTGATCATCTAAACACCAGAATATTCCTTCTGGTCCTATTTTCAGATTCTACTTAAAAATCACAATATTACCTATTCACAAGTACCTGATCCATAAACATTGCAGCATTACAGTATTACCATAGTTATCCCAACAACTCTCAATTGTAATGTTGAAGTTATTTTTCCCAACTTGATATCATGATTCAAGTCGGTGTATCTTTTGGTTGGTGCTCGTCCAGAACACTTACATTGTCAAATTGAAGTTAAAGTTGAGAATAATAACTTCAATATGGAAGTCTATAATGATTAAGCAGATTCTTGCTGGTGTAACTCTTCCTTCTGCTAGCTGTGTATTCTTTCATTTTGCTTTTTACACTTTTTTAAAGGGTTGCTCATGCTCTGCACCTTGAAACTGTTGGTGTTAATGAGCCATATTACTTCTTTGCACTGCTGATATAATTAAAGCAACAAGCATGTTTCATTTTCGTCATCATTTCTCAATCTGTTAGTATTGATCACTCACTATTTGGGTTAATGATACTTCTTGCTTAAGAGTTATTTTCCTTGTCTTTTTGGCACAGGTTTGAACAGTACGTAGAGTATGCTTTGGATGTTCCAATGTACTTTGTCTATCGAAAGAAGAAATATATTGATTGTGCTGGGCTGTCCTTTCGGGTTTTTATCAAACTTGATTTCCCTTCTATAAATTTCCTCGATATTCAATCTATTGCTATGTCACGCGACTATACTTGTTTTTATCTGAATTTGGTGAAGGATTTTATGGCTGGGAAACTTCCTTGTCTTCCGGGTGAATATCCTACTCTCAATGACTGGGAGAATCATTTGACTACCATATTCCCAGAGGTGTGATTTGTTGTTACTTGGATAAATTGTACCCATTTATCTTCATGTTTTTTCATGATATATGGTCTTATCATTTTCCAGGTTAGGCTTAAAAGATACTTGGAGATGAGAGGTGCTGATGGAGGGCCCTGGAGGAGGCTGTGCGCATTACCTGCATTTTGGGTATGTTCTCTTAATTCATGTGGAATGTAACTTGTTATTTTGTTTATCTGGCTCACAAGTATTAATTCATATTAGTGTGTGTGTGTGTGTGTTTCATTAGATTTGTTGCATCACGAGATTTTGGTAGAATATGAAGGTCTAGTACTAAGATGATTTTGTTCAGGTCGGTCTATTGTATGATGAGGTCTCCCTACAAAATGTTCTGGACTTGACAGCAGATTGGACAACAGAAGAAAGACAGATGCTTAGGAATAAGGTAACAAGTTCATGTGAATTTGGATTTCTTTATAACAAAACTCCCGACTGGTAAAATTATCTATCTCTGTGGTCTTCGATTTATTTATCATGAATCTTTAATAAAGTGTTTGCAGGTATGTTATCTATACTCCATACTTCTTCTACTGCTGTTATATGCTAAACTGCTAATGATTCTCTAAGATAATATAATTCTATAAAAAATGTATTTCTGCCTGGTTCTCCTGGAGTATATATTACCATGTTGAATGTCTAAAATAATGGGTCACTATTACGAGATAGAATTTGGAAGTCTGAGACGAACTGTTAGAAAATAAAACCCATAAAAAAATAAATGTTCTGTTCCTCCCAGAGAATATAAATTACGAATATATTTTTGAAACCATTTCGTTTTCTGGGTTGAAAATACTTTCTTGCACTTGTAAATTATTCTTTTGGATCCATGATGATTATCTTTTAAATCCAAAATCATGTAATAGGTGCCAAAGAGTGGTTTGAAGACGCCATTTCGCGATGGACTGCTGAAACATGTTGCCCAAGAAGTTGTGAAATTTGCGAAGGTGACTTAATATTGCTTATATTAGGCCAGTTTGCTAGCTCTGAGCTTGAATCATTGTGGCAGTAATTGGGTGTGAGATATCTTCTATTTTTTTTCCCTATCTGCCTATTCATTTTCATTCTCTTTTATAGGATGGACTGGAAAGAAGAGGCTTCAAGGAAACTGGATTTCTAAATGAAGTGACAGAAGTGGTTAATTCAGGCAAGCAATTAAGGCAACCCTTTTATTATACCTTAATGTGTCTTTTTCTTTTTCTAGGATTTCTGATTGAACCTCCCCCACTCTCAGATCTTCGTATTATATATAATAATCTTACCACTCATATTGCGTATTCCTAGTAAAATGCGGGATTGTATAATTACTTCCGGTTCCGGGTTCTTTTCAAAGATCGGTCTCATCCATGCACCTTAATTGAATGGCTATCGTGGAATGTAATCTGTTTACTTCTTCTATAATTATTTTTATCACTTAGTACAAGTTTCAGAATGTCATGTTGAATCACTCTAATTTTTATTGATCCACGAATAAGTTTTTTTTTTTTTTTTTTCCCCCGAACG